AGTTGTTGCCAGTTTCTGTTGTAATTGCCAGTTCTCTTCATGTTTTACGCCTATTAAAGAAATGTTAATTTTATTTTATGTATGTTTAGGCTTTGTTAGAAATTTGTTGTAGTTAACGGCAAATGTTCTTTATTTATTGATATTTTATTGAAAATGTATTTATGTTTTTCTTTTGTATTATTGTTAGAAAAAAGAAATCAAAACTTTTTTTACAACTTTTTACAACATTCCACAACAGTTGTGAAAAGTTTTATATTTAAATAATTTAAATTTTACATTTATCGGACCTTATACTAATCATTACAAGAATTGTAATTTTGTAGAAATTTCACGCGATTTGCAAATTCATTCACTTTTCGAACTTGGAGGAAATTATTCGGAAAGGTCAGTCTATTCTAACAAAAATTATCAAACAATTATTAAGAGTTTTCGCTCATTAACAGATGTGACATGTTGTTTAATTCTTATCTATTATCAATTATTTCAAATGTGACATGTTGTTTAATATTCTTATCAATTATCACTGTTGTACAATGTATTATGTTATTTTCAGGTGTTATATATTTTTCGAATCTGAACTTTTGTGAAATGAAAAAATATTATTGCTTTGTTGATAATAGCGGCAGACAGTAAAACAATGTTTAGAATAAGCAATGGTTTTGTTTATTTTTTTCATTATTTTTAATATGAAATAGACAGAGGATTGCAGTTCTTAATTGGATTACAGCGGTGATACGTCGGCGATATTTACAATCATAGATGTCACCTTTGTCGCCGGAAATAATAAAGAAATCATCAATCACTTTTGACATTCAATCAGGAAATAATGGGCAAAGCACATATGGCGAAAAAAAGTTGGTACAAATATAACTTAAGCCAACATAATACAATAATTCATAGTCCTGCGAATGTAAATACTTCCTTTATAAATATTTCTGTGTCAATGATATCATCTGCTATCGATATCATTAAGGAGCTTACTGTAGAATATAGGTTGTCATCCGAACTTTTATGCACTTTCATGTGCCTATTCAAACCATTTTTCAGGGTGAAATTCCTACCACATACCTCACATTTGAATAACCGTACGTTTCCGTGTGTCAATTTGTGTCTCTTCAGTTTGTAGGACTCTTTGAATGTTTTACTGCATGTGTGACATTTGAATGGTCGTTCGTTTCCGTGCGTCAAATTATGTCTCTTCAAATCGTTGGGCAGTTTGAATGCTTTATTGCACACGTAACATTTGAATGGTCGTTCGTTTCCGTGCGTCAATTTGTGCCTCTTCAGATTGCTTGAGTCTTTGAATGTATTATTGCACACGTGACATTTGAATGGTTGTTCGTTTCCGTGCGTCAATTTGTGCCTCTTCAGATTGCTGGAGCCTTTGAATGTTTTATTGCATATCTCACATTTGTAATTTTTTTCATCGTTATGTATCATCTTATGGTTTATTAGAGTTGCTGAAAGTCCGAATAGCACACCGCATACTTTACATCGGTACTGTTTTTTGTTTGCTTCACTGTTATTAGCCATAATCTTTATTTTGCCCTCATTTTCTATTCCTTCTTGTATTCGCTGATCGTTTGATACCTGAAATTACCCAAAATCATTGGTTTATAGTTGGCTTATTGTTTTCCTGTGATTTTTGAACAGTAATAATCACAGGTATTGTTCAGATATCATTATAGAATCTTTGAATGACAATAAGTTACTTCTCTTTCTTAAAAATAGCTCAGTGAATTGTAATAATAATTTGAAAAAAAGTGTCATTGTGCTATATTGTGACAGTTGATTTGAGACAGAAAGATTAACAGACCGATCGATGTAATAAAAATGATTTAGAGATTCAATGCACAAACTGTAGCATTTCATTGTGATTTTAGCAATCAAATATGGTTACAAAACATCGATTATTTAGAAGTGACAGTAAGAAGTGAAAAATTAAATAATTTTCTTTCACAAAGAGTAACTGCTTTTATCCTTACTTAAAGTAAAAAACTTTGTGAATATTTAATTTCTATACTGAAAGCGATATCTTATTCACATACCGTTATTTGCGCGACGTACAACGGCAACACAAACAATACCAAATAGTACGACAGATACATAATCGAGAAGTGATAGGATGTAGAAATCGTTAAAGTGTTTTCGATAAATATTTTTAGCAGACAACCAATCCAATGAAATGATATTTGTCGTATTAACAGAGAGAACCGTTTTTATGCATTCCGGTAAGCCGTATGATCTATGACCAAATATAATCACAAAACTCCAGTCTTTAGCATAATAATTTTCAGTTCATTACACTCCAAAATTTTTTATTTGCATCACTGAATAAGCATTCTACGTATAAATTCTTCTTTCATTCTTCGTCACGACAATATTGAAAGCATTAATAAATTTTTATATAATTGTTGTTTAGACTTCATCCGAACAACCAACGATTGGATACATTAATAGTTTTTCAAATGATCCTATGAAGATTAATTTTCCTTCTGAGGTTTGTTTGTTTTTGATTCTTTTATTTATTGTTTACCTTTTATCAATATTTTTGTCTTAGATTTTGTTTGTGATTACTTTGACAATTGAATTTTTCGTATAATTATTTACTCATAATATTTTACCTGTAATGAATTCTCTTTGATATCATTCTTCAAATGAATTAATTGTAGGCATTGAACTTTCATTGGTTCCATTTTAATTTTAGCTTTATGCGCAATTAATTTGATTATGGAAAATTAAATATTCATAGAAAATCGGTTTGTCCATAATTTGTGATAGAAGTTTATCCTCCACTTCTTTGTTATTATCACTTGCTTTTTATCGGCTTGACTTTAGAAATGTGAAAAATAATAAAATCATTGAACAGAGGAAGTGAATCATTTGAAGGCGCAAAAATATGAAACAGACTGTAATCAAATATTTCATTGCAGAAATTTAAAAGATCTTCTTTAATTGAAGAACAATATTCTATGTACATTGTAGAACTTACAGTAAAATTATGATTCAAAAAATATGATAAATTAATAAAAGTGAAATATTTAAAACAATCTTTTTAGTATAAGTTTTCAGGCTCTACCTCGGTCGTACGAAATCAGTGATTATGAATATCATTTAATCAATAACATTTCGGTTATTGAACACCTTGGAAATCTGTTTGCTCGTGCCGATGATTTGTATAAAGAATACTTTGAAATTTGATGACAATTCTGAACAATGCTGCCAGTTGTGATCGCATTTGTATAAAACTATTATTATTCAATATAACTAACAAAAAATTTTAAAGTGTAGTGGAGAGAAAACTATTATGCGAAAAGATTTGACTTTTGAGATTACAATATATGGTTATAGATCATACGGCTTACCAGAATGCATAAAAACAGTCTTAGTACGACAAATATCACTTCATTAGATTGGTTGTCTGCAAAAAATATTTCTCGAAAAGAATTCGACTATTTCCACATCCCGTCGTTTCTCGATTATGATTATATCGCTTTATTTGGTAATGCTCGTGTTGCCGCTGTACATCGCACAAGTAACGGTATGTGAATAAAATATTGCTTTCACTGTAGAAATTATTGTTCACGAAGTTCTTAATCTTAGCTGAGAACAAAAACATCTGCCTCCTGTGAAGGAAAATTAAAATTTTCTATTTCCCTATTACTTCTAATTAGTCGAATTAATCTGTTATCAAATCCTATAGCAAGAATCAAAGTCAAGGGCAAAAGTTTGCAAATTCAATCACCGAACAATTTTTGTTGCATCGATCTGTTAATCCTTCTCACTCAAATCAACAGTCACAATATAACAGTCATACTTTTTCCAAATTACTGTTGCGGTTCATTGATCAACTTTCAAAGTATAGAAGTGAATTGTTGTCATTCAAAGATTCCACAATGATATCCATACAATACCTCTGATTATTGCTGCTCAAAAATCACAGGAAAATAATAATCAAATATATTAACAAATCATTTCGGGTTATTTCAGATATCAAATGAAGGCGATGAGGCAATACAAGCAGCAATAAAAAATGACGACGAAATAAAGATTGTGGTTGATGACAGTAAAGCAAACGAAAAACAGTACAAATGTGAAGTATGTGGCAAGCAATTCGGAAGTTCAGGAATTCTCAAACACCATAAGGTGGTGCATACCGGTGAAAAAAATTACAAGTGTATGATATGCAATAAAGCGTTTAAAAGGTCCGGCGATCTGAAAAGCCACAATTTGACGCACGGAAACGTACGATCATTCAAATGTCACGTGTGCAATAAAACATTCAAACGGTTGAACGATTTGAAGAAACACAATTTGGTGCATGGAAACGAACGACCATTCAAATGTTACGTGTGCAATAAAACATTCAAAGCATCCAAGAATTTGAACAGACACATATTGATGCACGGAAACGCACAACCATTCAAATGTCACGTGTGCAATAAAACATTCAAAGTATCCGGGAACCTGAAGAGACACATATTGATGCACGGAAACGAACGACTATTCAAATGTCACGTGTGCAATAAAGCATTCAAAGACTCCAGCGTTCTGAAGAGACACCAATTGACGCACGAAAACGTGCAAGCATTCATGTGTGAAGTGTGTGGTAGGAATTTCACTCAGAAACGTAATTTGAATAGACACATTAAAAGCCATAAAAGTTCGAGTAAAAAGTTATATTTTGCAGTAAGCTCCTTAATGATATCGATAGCAGATGATATCATTGACACAGAAATATCAATGAGGAAAATAATTGCATTCGCAGGACTATAAATTATTGTATTGTATTGGCGTAAATTATATTTTTACTGTTTTCTTGCCATTTGTTCTTTGCCCGCTATTCCTCGATTGAATGTAAAAAGTGATTGATGGAATTGTGCATAAAATTTTGAAAGATTGAACATTGGCTGCCAGCATCAACAAAGCAACAATATTTTTCCATTTCACTAAAATTTTTTTTTTTTGAAAAATTTCAGATGAAAATTGTTTCAGATGAAAATTGTGGTTGCTCAACATTTTCAGGTATAATTTGAAATATTGAAAAAGTTCTAAAAAATTCGGAAAATATATAAATAAATTATACACAGCACTGATGAACATATTAAACATCGTATTAGTTGTGATCGGAAGTTAACGAAATCTTTGAATGATTGTTTGATATCTTTTGATATTAATTCTTATATTATTTAAAAATTTCTGATTCGAACAAAGAAATAAAGAAAAGAAAGAATTTATACCATTTCATTATCAGTAGAATGAATTTCAGATGAAAATTGTGGTTGCTCAACATTTTTAGGTATAATTTGAAATATTGAAAAAGTTGTAAATATAAAATTATTGTTGAGACAAAAAACAAGCATTAGATAACTATAAATTTTCCAAAACCTATTTATTTATCAATTTTATATTACACTATGATATAATGAAGTGTGTCGTCAACATTCTATCATTTGATAATATGATATAATGTAATATAGTTATCATAATATATCATTTGATAATATAATATAATTAATAATAATCGAAGATATAATCACCAATTCATTTGATGCTCGTAATATCAGCTGTATATTAATTTCTAACGATAAGAAATTATAATCACAATTGTAATTATGATACCGTATAATCAATCAAATATTTTAATTTCTCTAACAATTGAAGCACGTTAGTGTAATTAGTACGAGAATGATAAATTTTATTTAAGTAATGATAATATCAGTTTACTATCAGTGATACTATCAGTTTTTCTTGGCTTAGAATTGAAATAATATTAATAAAAATGTTTTTCTATAGAATGAAAAATTAAAAGAAATTTTAAATTCCCATATACGCCAAATTCCAAGCAATCGTTATTGCCAATTCTATTTTCCTCCTTCTTTCTAATGAGTGAGAAAGTCTACAAATTCCCAGATAGATTCCCAGCCTGCGTTACAACTTCTACACAAACTTTCCCTTATTCGGCAACAACTATTACAGAGCGATTTCATTGATTCATAACTGTTACGTAAATAAATCTGGTAGTTTTAAATTTATCTGATAGTTCTAAAACTTTTAAGGATTTTTTATAATAATTCGAAAACTTTGCAGAAATATGATCATCATTCAATTATCAATACTTCGCTATGCTATTATAACTTTTTAATAAAAGCTAAAGCTTTTCATTATTGCCAGCCATCTATGAATTGAATTGATTAGTGGTTTATAAATTCCGTCATATTTTCAGAACAAGTATTAATATTTTCATTTGATAACTTCCGAAATTGCACATGAAAAACACATTATTCACATATATTATATATAACAGAAATATATATATTATATATTAAAATAGTTACAAAAGTGACAGAAATTTCAAGTATGAAATGACTTTAACTACACATTACCTTCACTTCAGTATCTCTTGAAAGTTTTAATTTGGCTGGCAACAACTATTACATTGTTTAGAGTGCATTAATCCTAAAGAATAATGTGATTTCTACCATATCCTTCTCATTCTTTTCTTG